AGCCTGGGCTGCATAGTGAGTTCCAGATCAGTCTCAACTACATAGTGAGACCCTGTCTCCAATACAAAAAAAAAAAAAAAAAATTAATAGAAGACACAAAAATTTGTCAGCAATATGCAAAAGTGATAATATATTTGAAATGTGTCCCAATTTCCTACAGTGAATGTAGTCATTATGTACTAGAATATGTAGTAAGAAAAGTAAAAATGTAAATATATCACAACTGAGTTGGGTTTGTTTTGAAAGGCAAAGTTGCTGTAACAGAAAAACTAATCAGCAAAAAACATACTACCAATATGAAGGAGAAAAATATACAATCATCCAATAAATAAATATATAAAAGATATTTATAAACTGACTATAATTTTAAATAAATAACAGCAAATTAGGAATAAAAAGATATCATTGAAGTCTGATACTTTTGTCCAAATGATACCTAGGGAAAGATACCATTTTAAAATTTGCTTTATTTTAATAGCTTGAGATTTTGTTCATGTTTATCAACCATTTAGGTCTTGTTTTTGTTTTTGTTCTTGGGTTTTGTTTTTTTGGTTTCAAGGTCTATGTAGTTCAAGCTGGCCTTGAGTTCACTATGTCGCCCAAGCTGGCCTCAAACTCACAACAATCCTTCTGCCTCAGCTTCCTGAGGGCTGGGATTATAGGCATATGTTACCTTACCCAGCTTCCTCTTATCTATTTGAAGACCCAAGTTCCATGGTGACAGTCTTCAAATATTTGTCCATGATATTAGTAATCTGTGTTTTCTCTCTTTTTAAAATTATGAATATTGTGGGGGATACCATTTTTATTAGCTTGGGGCCAGGGATGTGACTCAGTGGTTCCACTGCCTGCCTCACAAGCACAAGGGCCCAAGTCCAATCCCCAGTAGAAAAAAAAAAAAACAATTTTATTAGCTTTGTCAAGATTCCAACTCTTGGCTTTGTTGAACCTCTCTATTGTATGCTTCTTTATTTCATTAATTTCTGTTCTTATCTTTATTACTTCCTTTCTTCTACTCTCCTTACTGGATTCAGGACAAAGGTATCACTACAAATCAGTGGGAATGTATGGCCTTTTCACTGGGCTACTTGAATATCTAAAGGGGAGAAAAATGAAAATTCATACCTATCTCACTATTCACAAAAATCAATTCCAAGTGAACTGTAGATCTAATGGCGAATAGAACAATAAACCTCCTTCAACTCAGGGTAGGGAAAATTTTTTTTTCTTTTTTTTGAGGCAGGGTCACCCTTTGTAATTCAGGCTGGCCTTGAACTCACTAAGGCCTGACTGAACTCACGGTGATCCTCCAGCCTCAGCCTCCCAAGTGCTGGGATCACAGGCGTGCACCATCACAGCCAGCCAGGAAATAATTTTTAAATAATATTTTAAAATATTAAACATAAAGAAAAAATATTAATACACCTGACTTCATTAAAATAATTTGTATTCATCAATACACATCACTATGGCTGAGGATGTACTTTAGTGATACAGTGCTTGCCTGGCATGCATAAGAACCTGGGTTCAATGCCCAGCACAGGAGGAGGCACAGGAGGAGAGGAGGTGGCAGGGGAGAAATCACTAACCAGTGAATCAGTAATATAAAAGGCATACATGGTGGCATAGCCTGTAATCCCATCTCTTGGTAGGCTGAGGCAGGAGGATCTATATACATACATACATACATATATATCCATATATATAGATAGAGAGAGAAAGAACCCCAAAAGGGATATTTTGAATATTCATATGTTAAGAATTCCCAAACATCAGTAAGAATTTTTACAAATAAAACAAAAGAAAAATGGGCATAGAATTTCAACAAAATCCATTTTAAAAGACAGCCAAGCTGGGGACTAGGGATTTAGTATACATACATACATACATATATATCCATATATATAGATAGAGAGAGAAAGAACCCCAAAAGGGATATTTTGAATATTCATATGTTAAGAATTCCCAAACATCAGTAAGAATTTTTACAAATAAAACAAAAGAAAAATGGGCATAGAATTTCAACAAAATCCATTTTAAAAGACAGCCAAGCTGGGGACTAGGGATTTAGTTCAGTGGTTCCACCACTTGCAAGGTCCCGAGTTCAATCCTGGGTACCAAAAGAAAAATAAAAAGCCAAGCTGGGCATGGTGGTACATTCCTATAATTCCAGCAATTGGGAGGCTGAGGCAGGAGGATCACTTTAATCTGAGGGTTTTTGGGTTTTTTTTGGTACCAGAGATCGAACCCAGGACCTTGTGCTTGCAAGGTAGGCGGTGGATCTACTGAGCTAAATCCCCAGCCCAGGAAGATAACTTCAAATTCAAGGCCAGCCTATCTGGGCTACAGAGTGAGTTCATAGCTGGCCTGAACTACATAGTAAGACTTTGTCTCAAAAAGCCACCAAAAAAAAAAAGCACCAAATGTCAAATTAAGGTGCGGGGATTTATTTCAGTGGTGTCGCTGCCTGCCTCAAAAGCACAAGGGTCTGAGTTCAATCCTCAGTATCAAAAACAAAGCAAAACAAAAAACAACCCCAAATTTCAAATACATTCATGGGGAAAGTGCTTGATTTTATTAGACATTAGAGAAATGCAAATTAAAACAATAATAATATATTATTATCCACCAGCATGACCAAAATTAAAGAAACTGACAATACCAAGTTTTAGAGAAAGCAACAGGGACTCTCTCATACTGATAATACTCCTATACTATCAGTACAAGCATTTTATTGTTTGGGGGCTCTTTTGTTCTATTTTCTGAGACAAAGTGTCACTGTGTAGCTCAGTCTGGCCATGGACTCACTATGCAGCCCAGGTTGTCCTTGAACTCACAGCAATCCTCCTGCCTTGGCCTCCAGAGTGCTGGGATTACACGTGTGCACCTCCACACCTGGCTAGTGGAACCATTTTTGAAAACTGGCCCTATCTATTAAAGCTGAGTAAACTATATGCCTATGATCTAGTAATTCTACTCTATACCTAATATGTGCACCCATATGTGCACCAAATGTTGCAAACAAGAATGTTCACCACATTATTTTCGTTTTTGTTTTGTTTTGTTTTGTTTTGTTTTGTTTGAGAAAGGGTCTCACTATATAGTTGAGACTGACCTGGGACTCACTATGTAGACCAGACTGGTCTCGAACTCACAGCGATCCTCCTGCCTCAGCCTCCCGAGTGCTGGGATTACAGGCATGTGCCACCATGCCTGGCTCTATCACATTATTTTCCAAATAGCCAAAACTGAAAGCAAAATGTCTAGCAGAATGGTTTTTTAAATTGTGGTATTTGCAATGGAACACCATACAGTAATGAAAAAATGGACAAATTCTAGCTATACATACCATTACAGATGAATCTCACAAATAACGATGACCAAAAGTGACACACACACAGAAACACATGACACTTATATCACATCACACTTATATCAAATTTTTAAAACAGGGCCAGATATGGTAGCACACAGCCGCAATCCCAGCACTGGAGAGGGACGCCAGAGGATCAAGGCAAGTTCAAGGCCAGCCTGGGATATATAGAGTTCAAAGCCAGCCTAAATTACATAGTGAGATCCTGTCTCAAAAAACCAAAACAAACAACAACAACATAAAGATAAAACTAGTTTTTAGAGAAACTTGCTTGCATAGTAAAACTATAAAGAGAAGCAAAGATATATTTACCATAGAATTCAAGATAATGGTTACCTCTTGTGGGTGATGATTAAAAGGCAGCAAGAAGGCACAAGAGGGGTTTTGGGGTGCTAGTAAAACTCCAGTGATAAATCACTGAGCTATAAAAAAGGGAGAGAGTTTTAAGCAAGTATGACCAAATATTAAGATGTGC